CCCATCTAGGACTCTGATACCTACAAAAACCAAAAAAGGATGTCAGTGATTTCAGATCAGAACACATTTTTGTAAAAACTGATGCCTCTTAGTAAAAGACTGTTGTTTAACGTATTGAAAAATGTTAAAGACTGCTTGGGTGTGTCATACCTGCCACCTTGCTGCCATAGGCCACACCCACAGCGCAGAAGCTGTTGTTGGGAACGGCTGCAATCTCCCCAGCACATCGAGTCCCATGGTGGTTGTCGCTGTGGTGGTCTGGGTGAGGCATGGGGTCGGGGTCATTGGAGTTCAGGTCGTAACTCCCCTCTGGACTCTTAACAGGAACACAAAAATCTATCATATGGGCATCAAACCTTTACAAGCTTTGTTCTAGTTTTGCATCTAACAGGACAAGTTTAACTAGAAAGTGGATAAGTTTGCCTTTACCCCAGAAGGTCGCATAATGTAATAATGTTATAAAATCTGGCTTCAAAATGATAACAATAATAGTTTCTGCCCCATTATGTAATTTTTTTTCCTTTGAAAAGAGAATAAATATTTTCATACATCTTGGAATAATAGATAAATATTTTAAGTCGTTAAATATAAGTGCTAAAACTTCTTATTTTCAGCCCAAAAATTATATTAACTTTCAAAACTTAGCAATCAGAAATATCTTTTATCCAGTGAGCTGTCATATTTTACATTAAAATGGGATTTGCCAAAATGTCCACACTCTTATCTCTTCAGACAGTTAAATTTTTTATGTCCTGCTATCTGGCATAAACTATTGCAAAATGAATTGTATTACATTTTACATCACTTATTGCATAATGTGACTTTCATGCACTTTTGTTATATTTGGATTTTATTACATAATGTTGTACTACATATCCATTCTACTTTTAAAACAATGCCAGCACTTAGTGAGTTTAAAATTATAACATAAAATGCACAACTTTATAGTATAAACCTTTGGAAGGCACTATGTAACTCATCAGACCATTGATGTCATTTATTTGGAATAAAAAAAATCTCCTTTAAGATACACAAGCTTTTCTTTTCTTCAAAACTTTGATTTACTCCAAAGTACCAACAGCTTTGCTCACAATATGTGTTCCACTATCAGCTTTCATTACTAAACTGGAGTTTGAACTTGAAAAAGGGAAAATATTTCACAACAGCACTACGCACAGTTCATGAGTAGGCCCACTGATCTTTGAATACAATTCAAGCAGAGTCAACACTAAATTCTGACTTACATAGTTGAGATGAATGTCTTTGTGGGTGTGCTCCACACCATCATCTACAACCACAACAGTGACCCCCTGACCAGTGATGTTGTGCTCCCAAACTCCGGTCACATTGATATCCATGCCTCTGTTCATTCGATTGTGCTGTAAAGGCAGAGGAAGAAAAACTCTGTTCATGAACGGCAGAAAAAATTTTTTTTTGCAAAATGTCAAGGTGCAGATGTGTTGTAAGTCGTATGACGGCAGATAGAATTGGTGCTAAAAGCTGATTAAAGTGTAGTTTACCTTGAAATGAACTTTAATGTTTTTTACCGACTGGAACAATTTCCAGCTTTAAACTTGCAGTTGTGGTTTCAACATGTTTGGTGTGTGTGACCAGGATCACTTTTATGATCATGCAAAACAAGTTTGATTTGCTGAATGAATGAAAATGAAAGCACAATATGGCAGTTGCTGCAATATGGCTGAAAAGTATTAATATATATATATTTGTTCGTTACCAGGGTAGCAATAGCTATAGATTTCATATTTTGCTGTGAAAACAAATTCAATTCTGAAGTTCCAAAGATTATACACTTCCAATATCCCCAAATTCCAATCGTCTGATTGGGATTGAATTTGTTAGTCCATTTTGCACAAACACCAAGCATCTGTTAATGTTCTGTGGAGATATTCAAATTATGTAATTGCATTCATTATCATCCAAGTTAATTACAGCAAGGTCAGCAACACTGGTGCCCTTACTGCTTCCAGATTCTGGTGAAATTTTGGGTCAAATGATTAAAATCGGAACAACGGTGCCAAATGCATATCAGATCTGGTTATGGGATGATAAACAGACCACCGTTAAGCTACTGGAACTCTTCTAAATACGATAAAAATTTATGGACTATCCTTTAAAGCTGAGTAACTCATTTCCCTAATTAATTTCTACTGTTTGTGCCAAGAACAGTGGTCAAATATTAAGGCAGCATTGAGCCCGAAGCTATAACATTTTGTAATTTGCACATTTTTCTGCTTGTCCCACCTACATTAGACCTCCTAAAATTGCTTTCATTAGTTTAATCAAAATCCTTTGAGCCAACTCAAATAAAATCAGACAGAAATAAAATAAAATATATAATATCTGGCAGATCTCGATTTTTTTATTTTGTGGATGTGTGCTACATGTTCTTACCAAGTGCCACTGCTTAGGATAGTTGGGGTCGTTGAAGGCCAATGACCTCTTTGAGCGACTGAGCACTCTCTCCTTGGAGTACCACAGGACATGAGGATGTGTTGCTAGAACATCGCTAGGTTGGATGCTCCTTTTCCAGATGCCTCCCAAAGATCCAGCGTGAGGTTGTGATGAGCAAAGCAAATAGTGGCCTTCGAGCTCTCCAATCTGACCCCGGTTCTGAAGCCCCGCCTCTTTTGCCACCTGCAAAGAAAGTATTGGAGTTGTTTTTCTACAGTAATAAATAGCGCAAATAAAAAAAACAATCAAACAACTAAGCCCTCTTTTGAAAATAAAAAACATAGTGGCCAGAGATAGAATAGTCACTTGATTTAATTTGTAAATATGGAGAAGGACCAAAGTCACTAAGTTTTCTTTAAATATTTCCATAGAAAATAAATAAATTCAGCAATACTATCTAAATATATGTGAAAATTCTGAAAATCTATTTGTTCAAATTAAAACTGAAGTTCAAACTATCGTAAAAGTTGCTGAAATACTACTGTACCCTATCAGCTATCACATCCAGGTGAACGGAGGTCTCTCTCTCATCTTCATTCTGGTGATGCTGGCTGTGGTGGAGCCGGACGGCCCAAGACTGACCTGGACCGCATGTCGGCCAAGCCAAGGATAAAGACGAAGCAGTTAAAGGGAGGGATGGGGTGACAGATGGCAGAAGGGCGAGCAGCAAGAGAGCTATGGAGGACAAAAAAATGAGAAGAAGGAATGTGGGAAAATAGGGTGCTGCCATGGCAAGGAAGGGTGAAACAACTGGTCCGCCAGGCAAGCCCTCTTCATCTGAGCAGCGATCTAGACAAGACAAGACAAAAGGATTACATTAGTGAGGACAATCTGAGAATGACTTTCTGGTTGCTCAACATCGGGGTGCGACATACAGAGGGAAAGTATCACAAATCACACCATCACTTTATCTGTGTTCCAACTTAAACACCTGTGATGAGCAACTCTGTGGCTATAAACCAAACCTTCCACAATCGCTACAGTGAAAAGACACTGCAATATTAGTAATATCTTTAAAACCAAATGGTTTACAGTAGGTCTGCATTTATATTAAAATAGTGAATGGGAGAAAATTCTTAGGTTTCGTAAACATTTCCTTTAAAGCAATGGGGTTGTCTTAACGAGGCTACAATAAGATGGTTTAAAGTACGACTGCCTTACCTTAACATTAGCTCTGATGACATGCCTGTGTTTGTTACTATTTACATTACATTTCTAGCTTCTAGGCTAGTTACGCGACGTTTTTTTTTTAAATATAATTAATTCTCTCGTAAATAGTAAAGACACTACATTTATGCTGACTTCTTGATTTGCATTAAACAAAATAGATAAATTCGTTAGAAAAAAACAAAACAACCCAATGCAGACCTCAAGTTTCACCGCACCGTCGTTGTTATTTTAGCTGTGTTAGCAGGTTAGCACAGTCGTGCTAACAATTGAAACTAAAGTGTTTCAATAAAACAGAGCTAAACATGTGATTGTCGGCGACAGAATATGGTAAAACATAATAATGTCTTACTGTACTTATGAAAGAGCTCGACTTGAGGTCGACAATTAATATTGAAAGTGCTATCGCCGAGCTTGACACTCCATTTCCGTAATCCAAGCTCTCCTCAATACGTGTTACGTCATACAGACTGCGCAATTATCGTGCGTGATATTTGATTGGCCCAGAGCCAGTGAGTGCTCTCCTTAACAAGAAGCAGAGGGACCCGAGCACAAGCGAAGTGTCTTTTTTATTCTAAATGGAAGCGTTTTTGCCGGGGGCTGTCAGGCGACTTACTAGAGCGATCATGTGAGTTTAACGTCATTAACAGCTAAAAACCCCCAACCACTTTGTGAAATGTAAACAGCTACTGATCACATCAATTCTGGTAAATAATTAATCTTAATTAATTTAAATCACATTTACACTCACTTCTAGAACTATAGTATGTCTGAACTTGAAATGAGAGCTATATCTACTTTTCATTGTTCCATTTTTTTTTTTTTTTTAATTGACCGAATCGGATGATTCACTGTTTTGAAATACTCCCACGCTTCTAGTGATGTTCCCACTCCAACACTGACGACTTGTCAGCTGTGCAGCTACCTCTTGAGTTATCCGATTTTACTTAACCTCCTGTACCCTCAATGGGGGTAAAATAAATTTCCGCCTGACAAAAACATACAAGAATAAATCCATAATAGCCTCACAGTTATCGTTATCAGATTAAGTAGCTGAAATAAATTATCTTTAAGATTACTCCGTAACTAATGAATTTGTGTGTGAGAATAGAAAATCAATTAATTATAAAGTACTTTGATCAACCAAAAAGAGGAAAGTAGAAATAATGACTTTAAAAACCTTTAGTTGTAAGTATTAATAAAGTAAATGTGGGTACTGATAATTAAATATTTGAGGCCCCAGCAATTTTATTAAAACGATATTTTTTAATCTATGTATTCAAATTAAAGGATAGATTCTTTTAACACTTTTTCAAAGCGATTATGTGACCAGGATGTAAAAAAGGAGACATTTTACAGGTACAATAAGTATTTTATTGGTTCAACAAAGCTGCCAGCACCTGACAGATAAATATCCAGTTCTGACTTAATCTATGTACAGCTTTTATGGAGACAACACAAACTGTCTCTTATAGACATATGTCCTGTTTCCCAGTAAATAATTTACTTGGGGCTGGTTTCCCTTTCAAAGCAGATATGGTCCCAGTCAAAAACATATTAGGCTGTGTGTGTATCTATGATAGAAGCCCTCTTCATTCGTTGTTAGCGTATAGTGTGTTTACATGTGCAAATCATCAAATAGGTGCAGCAGTAGTTTTGCGAGGATAAGCACTCGGTGATCTGTGTCTGTGCAAATAGACGATCTGGAATGCACAAATGTTATGTACAGTAGATACAGGCTTTAATCAGAAGAAGAAAAGAAATGACATCTGAAATTTAGTGCGATCTGTCTCTGATCATATGCTCCAAAAACAGATTACATACAGTAAATGCTTGACATTATATTTCGTTAAATAGCCTCTTTATGTGTACGTAATTAGCTTTTTCCAGAATTCTTCAGTTACATTATTCTGCTGTTTTTTTATGACTTCTTTATTTTTTTTTAAAACCTTTCCATAAACTCTTTGTATGCAGGACAGCTGTGCAAACAAATATGCAGGCTCCAACAATTAATGCCATCCACTCAAAAGCCACAAATAATACAGAAGCACACACGTGACCAATTGTTCATATATCCAAATCACGGCAATGCAAAGGCGGCTGCAACGGAATTTCTCATCTTCAATACACATCCAGGTTTTGCTTGTAAAGGGTCAGTTTGTTCTTTAATGAAATAACCCAATAAATGCACTGCAGAGGTAAGAAACTTATCTTCCCAGCTGATCCTTTTTACATGTTTGTTTTGCATTTTCCCACCAGTTCCTTAAATCATGCTGATCTGCATAGATACAGAAGCTTAAACAGACAAAGTGGACACTGACAGCAGCACCTTCTCTTGTCCGATTCAAGCTCAAGATGGCTCTTGTTATTCTCACTAACAACCCGATGGCAGCAAGGTTCTCTCTCTGTGTGTCTCTGTGATTCCTGAAGAATCTTTTCAAAGCTTTCTGTGAACAGCACCGTCAGTTTGAAAGGAGACTCCTCAGCCCCGCGTCCCTTCATTTTAGGAGAGATATGTCATCTGCAAAGTCCCCGTGCGGGTGGAGGCAGCGGGCAAATCGCCACTGGCACACCATGAGACACAGAGGCAGCATGAAAAGAGCGCAGATTCCTGCCATGATGTAGGCGATGGTCATCAGGGTGGACTCGTCCGTCTGCGGGATGTTGTAGCCGCAGTCTTCCAGGTCGACGCCGTGGAACGGGCCCTCCACTGACGCTGTGCGGAACTCGTCGTGTACTGAGAACGGACGAACATGAACATAAGGAATTCAAATCTTTCACCTCAATTTTGTTAGTTTTATGCTTTATAATTTGAACTGCAAAGCTTTTTCAAAAGCATCTAAAGCACTTGAACATTTTTATGTTGTTTTCATTTTTCAACTATAATCTTCAATGTGTTTCAACAGAATATCATGTGACAAACCAATTCGTTTATCTACAAAAGAATGCATGCTTTTTTCTAAATAAACATTAAAAATATCACACATTTCAGTCTAAATATGAAAAGCTGGAAGAAACATACCCAAAAACAAAAGTTTACCTCATTATTATGCACTACTTTGTGCTTGTATTTCATAGCATCCCAGTGAAAACACTGAGATCCGTTGCAGAGTAACAAATAATACATTCAAGAATCAGAATGAGGGACATGAGCACTTTGTTCATGTCCTTCATTGTGTCTGTGTCCTCTCCTCACCATGGCAGGTGCTCACGGCGAAGCCGATGCGTTTCTTCTCTCGGTCAAAAACGACATAGAAGCCCTCCATGATGACAGCTCCCATCACTGTCCCAGTGCTGGACTGAGACATGGCGAACTTATAGCAGTCCTCCTGAGTATAGGCAGCATCTTCCACCGGCCGCAGGTATTGCTGCACAGACAGAAACAATAAGCAAATAAAAAGAAGAAAACATTCAAAGGTGGCTTCAGATGAAGATATATGTGGTGAGTTTCCAAAAAGAACCCTGTAGACATCATCAATTGCATCAAAACCTTATATGGATTTAGCTAAGCTGTTTTTAAAAACAGGGTTGTTAAAAACTTAGTGAACCCCCTTTCTTCTAGTTTTGCTTTTCTGACCCATTTTTTTTTTTGTTTACACAAACAATGTAGTGTCAGACAACTACAGCCTGAGTTAATAAAAATATCTGTTTTCACACTATAATTTTATTTATTAAGAGGAAAAAATTCTTCCTGAAGCAACTTAATCTGATGATTTAATCTGAACATCAACTGCTCTCTTATTAAATCATGACTTCACTGAAATTAGCCAGGATTTCATTTTAGTTTAAAGAACTTAGTAATTTCTAAGTGATTACAAAATTCTTAGAAATTAGTTTCTAAGGATTTAGAAATCCTTAGAATTCTAAATCCTCGAAATTAATTTTTCTCAGTTTTTTAAGACTGATTAGTCATCCTTAAAATGACTAGAAATGACGCCTCTATGAGCTCAATAATAGAATTGTGGGATCGTAATGCCACATCATCTTTTCGCTCTCAGCTTACAGATTTTTATGTTTCCCATGAGATCAGAGCATTTATTTTTTTCCTGTCTTCCTTAGCTTAACATTCTATTTCTTTCAAGTGAATGAACACTTTGGGAACTTGCAGGCAGTTAAAAATAGTTAATCATATTTCCTGTCTAGTCAAACAAGTTGCCCTTCAATTTCAGACACAATTTAAAACATAAACCTAAAGATGTAATAGCATAACTGTCCACTAGAGGGAAATAACTTCTGCACATTACTGTGATTCTGTTCTTTAAACAATCAGTTGATGGGTTTATTTGTGTATCTCAGGTGTGGATTTTGCAATAGAAACGTGATGACTTTCACGCTGTAGCACAAAGGTCACAAACCACCCACAGATTTGACTTCTGAGGCCTCAACAAGCCACTTTGAAGAGTTTTAATAAATTTCAACTGCTTCTGATCGCACAAGAAGTGCTTTTGTACATCGATCTCTACTGCCAGATTGATAAGCCTTCAACTTAAAAGCTGCATCATTTGAACTTCTTCGTGTGGTTTTCTTGATCAGGGGGTATGAGTTTGATAACATTTCTCCACCGTGCCTGCTGCTTGCATGTGCTTGTTCTAAATGAAAATTAGCAATTTTTCTTTTTCAATTTTGATTTCCAATTTTGACGTCCAATGATTCACTTCCTGCTAAAGAGCTTGAAGAAAAATCCATAGAAAAGCCACCCTGGCCTATAGGCCACATGGTTCAAAGCGTGGGAAAAAAGTAGCGATTTATAGTCCGAAAAATACAATACATAAAAGAAAATCTTTCAGTGTTGAGAGTCTTAAGAGACACACAGCAATGTTTAATACAGGAGGTGTTAAATGTTTTTCTTGAATCTTAAAACCAGGAGCCAAACTTGGGCAGTTTCAAATCATTTACTCAGGATTGATCTTCATGTAACATTGATAGCAACACAAGGCCGGTCCGTTTCTGTTCGGCGTGAAATAAATTCACATCCAGAACCCGAGAGCGCTGTTACCTGGGGCAAGACGGAGATTCTGAAGGACTGGTTGCGGTTTTCACTCATCAGGTAGAGAGAGATCACTGGGAAGATGTGCCAGGGTGTAGTTCCAGCCTGCCAGCAAACCAGCTGCTCCCCGAGCCAGAACTGAGAGGGAAACTGCTCCGTCTGCACAAAGATGTTTATTTGTTGTCCAGTTAAAAAAAAAAAAAGGAATTTGAGCTATTTTGGTTCATTTAATTTTTATAAAGAAATTTCAGTTTAACTTTAATTTTAAAAAAATCAAGATTACAACCATATGTATCACATGCAAATGACTCACCGAAGAGGCGGCTTCAATAGCCTTCACTGCAGCCTGGAAGACTTTCCTTGGAAGTCGGAGGTTGGTGGTTCCACTGTCCACAATGCTCTTATCATAATTGTACTGCAGAGCATATATGTTGCATGTTTGTTACCTAACATTTTAGAAGAAAATTGATCATTTCAGATTATTTATCACTGATAAAACTGTACCTCTTTACAGTCCATGTTAAGATCCTGTCCGTTCACCTCAATTCGAACAATAATAACCTCGTAGTACCACTCCCTGCGGATGGGAGTGTACCAAAGTTCTCCAACGTACAGTGATGAGTCCACTCCACCAATGATCTAAAAAACACAGAAAAAACTAAATTAATTCAGCGCTTAGCAAACACAAACCATCACATTTTGCATTTGTATGTAAGTCACCATGCTGCCACCAACTGTGGAGCTGCCCAGCGACTGGTTCTGGGAGAAGCCTGCGCCGCACAGCTGGAGGGAGAAGAGGTTGGGGACAGAGGTCTGACGAACCAAGGAGTCGAAGAAAGGCTCCAGCGTCTCATCCGGCTGGAAGACAGTGAGAGAAGTGCTGTTTTTGGAAAAGCTGATTGACGGACAAAAACATCAGCTCCTTTTAGCTCTTCATTTAGCTCTTCATTTAGCTCCTCTTGACTCTCAAACTGAAAAGTTATCAGACCAGCTTCCCAGTTTGTGTCATCATTAAATAAAACTGAAAATGTCCTTTTTCTTTCTTAATGGACTTATTTGGTCTTTCATTTAGTGATTCATCAACAACAGTACATAATCTTTGATCAAATACAGCCTGATACTATCATACTTCCACCATCATGTTTCAAACTTGTATTTTGACAGCTGAAAAATACAATAAGTTTTGTATTGGACTTCTCCAATACAAAACCCTCAGATTATAATCACAAAATGCAGATATGTATCTGCACATTTGTGCATTCATGTTTTTTCACAAGTTTAAAAATATTTAAGTTGTGAGAATATTCATCAATTCTCACAACTTCTCGGCTGGGCACCAAGTCGGTGCCCAGCTCCCCCTCCCAGTATTTACAGTATGACCCTTTTTTAAGTTGCAGACTCCTTAATTAATCTCTCTCTGTCTTTGCTCACAAGAACTGCAGTTCATTATGGGCCAATTCCCAAAGAAGCTGCTCTCATTTACATATTTTCTGCTTCAGTCATCAGAAAACTAAATGGGTCTGAACATCTGAATTAATAGCGACTCATTAGGACAACATTTATAGCGGTGGCCAAATTTTAAGAATTGCAAGGTTGAAGTTCCTCTTTAATGAAGTCTATTAGTATATTAGCTGACAAAAAGAGTAAATTAAAGACAAAATCTATGCTGTCATTTCTGCTACACTTACAAATACTTACAAAAAGGTTAGGAACAGGATGCATTAAATTATAGGTTCACTCCTCTGCAAACCCACCTGGAAGCTCTTATTAGATTAGTATTGATGTTGTGCTTTTAGTTTCTAGTGTTATATTTAAAGCAAATAAGAGGCTATTGAAGATAAATTAAAAGTGAGAAGAGATGAACATTCCCCATTCTCAGGTCTGAATGTGTGTAAGAAATGCTTGAGATGGGCCCATGTTGACAAGCACTCATACAGCAGTCATCACACTCTTACCTTTGAGGGAAAACAGTTCATCTTTTTGATATAAAAACTGCAGTTGATACCAGCAGAGAACAAATGGATTTACACTATAAATGAAACTGGGAGCACCAGAGATAATACTTACCTTCAGTTAGGCTGGTGGTGATGTTATTCTAAAAATGTCAGTGTTAGTGATTTGACATGACTCTTCAACTGTTGCCTAAAAGCCAATTTTGACTTGACAGTTCAGCTAAAAATAGACAATTAGAAATGTGCATGCCTTCTTATATTCCTTAGATTAAATGCCAGTCTTTGTGAAGTAATCTCTAAGGGCTAATTTTATTTTATTACCACAATAGTGCAACGGTCAAGAAATTAACTGCAGGTTTGTTTCAATTAATGTAAAAACTCACTCGGGCTATATCGGCATAGGCCAGCCCCAGGATTCCTTCCCAGTTTGAGCCGTTGATGAAGAAGCGGTCTGACTGGGTTATTGCAGCGACGTTGGCGCGCAGTGTGGCATTGGGGCCGTGTGGCACAGAGACCAAGTCGGTGCCCAGCTCCCCCTCCCAGCGGCCTTGAGTATAGGGAACGTACACACTCCTGCCCAGGTCTCGGTATGAACTAGAGCTGTACACAAACACAAGGGAATACAGTCAATTATTTCTATAAACAATGGTTTACTTGTTCACAGAGTCTTACAAAAATATTCAAAGTGACAACTCACAGTGAACGATGGTAGTATCTGCGCAGGAAGGGGTGAGCAGCTGCCCCAACAGCAAAGTTGCTGCTTCCTGTGTCCACCAGGATATTCAACTAAAGAAAACAGAGAAATCATGTTACTGTGCAATGGGCAGGGATTCTTTGTTGTAAAGCCAAGCAGTTCTTTCTCTCTGGCCCAGATGTCCTTGTCTGTCCCATCTCCGTCTCCCCCTCAAGCCCTCCCTGCCTCTCAAGTTGCGTATTCTACTCCCCCTCTTCTCTGCCATTTCCTCCTCTTCTGTCTGCATCTCTAAGAGAGTATCATATTTTGCACCATCAGTCAAAACAGTCAGCGAATGTGTGAATGGAGCGAACAGACAGATGCTTGCCAAAGCAGAAAATATACAACACGGCATTGCTTTATTCATGCCTGGATGTTTCACAGGTCGCTCTCAGGAATTGTGTCGGTGACAGATTGAAAGAAAAGAGCAGGATGTCGATAGTGAGGAGAGGCACAGTAGCACAGAAACACCCAGAGAGCCAGCCGCAGAGCTAAAGCAAGCTGCTCAATAATGGATTGGCTCTTAAAATACCCAGAGAAGTGCTATTGTCTCAAGGGCCAACCCTGACAGCCTAGAATAAATCCTGACGCTGTCTACCTTCTTCTCTTTCTCACACACACATGCACATACACAATCTCTAATACACACGCTGCACCATCCACAACCATAATCCGCATAGAACTGTCTCCTCAAACGTTACCAGAGTTTGTCCTAATTCTGAACCTTGTGTTTTTAATCTCTTGGACAGAAATGTGCTGACTGTCCAGAGTACAGCTGTCTCTTTCGCCACAACATTCAGAGCTCAGCAAGACACCAACACTGAAGGCTTCATCCTGAGACCTTTCCCTGCACTCTCCCCCAATGCCTGTCTTCCTGAACCTTTTGTTCCAGCCATTATATTTGCCAACCCCCCGCCCCCAACTCCTCATTATGAGGATCTTTCATCTTGCTCTTACAACAACATCTTATTCTTAGAATTAATTTCATGCATATTGTATGAGCATTACTTTATTATTGTCCCCTTCAGGAGATTTTCCTTGTTTTTTTCATCTGTTGGTTGAGTCTTGATTTGGGCTGCGTCAATCAATTCACCATGAAGTGGCTGATTTGGAGTTTGGAGAATGTCTTCTGCCTTTTCAACAAAAAATATAATCAAAGACTGCACTTCCTCCACAAATTAATTAAATTTAGAGTGTGTAAAAAGTTGAAGACCATTTTTATATAATTGAATCTGTCTTTAATTTTTTTCACCTGAATTTTATTAGAAAAACATGATCAGACAAATTTAAAAAGTGGACAGGGAAATTACGAGTTACATTAACTGAAGCTTTAGTAAGTCCGTTTGTGGAGGTGCACAAAGAAATCAGCTGCTAACGAAAATCTAGATTGACTGGCTGGTCTGAAGCTAAAAAATAATACTCAAAGTTGGCTATTTTCAATTGTGTCAAGAAAAGAAGCCAAAGGCAGTATAGAGTTGTAGAAACTGTATCAAAGGAAATTGCATTTTCTTGGACATCTTATAGCAATTCTACAGCTCAAAGTAAGAGAGAGCAAGATTTTTCGCATACAATAAAAAGGAAGAATATTTTACAGCCTAAGTGCTCACTTCTATTCTTTTGAGCCTTTAAAGTCTGGGAACAAACTTTAATCAGAATAATTACTAATACAGCATGAGGTGGTAAAGATAGGTTTAGATTTCAGTCCTGTAATCATGTTGTCTTTGTTTTCAAGTAGTAAAACTTTGCTTTCTTTACACACACATACACAGTGCAACGTCCTCTTGATTTCTAAAGAGAATAATTGATGGAAAGTTAAAAGTTTATAAAGATTTAGATGAAAAAAATGTCTTGAAAATTGGGATTTCTACCCCACAGATCTGTCTTCTAACTTTTCTGAAAGCATTGAGTCTTTCAAAGTGTCACCTACACTGAGGATTCTAAAGTCTTCTGTCTCGCTCATCCTCTCTCGTGACTTCCCAGTCTGACTCCCCACATCAATCGTCTGTCACATTTTTTTCTTCCTCCACCCATCATCCACTTCCTTTTTCCTTCTTTCATCTCTACCGCTCTTCACCTCGATCTTCTCGCTCATTTTATTTTCTCCCTTCCTCAGCTTTCATTCATTCATTCATTTTATCCTCCCTAAGGAGACTCATCTTTGTCTGATTCTCCTTTCCTTTGCCGTCACCCTCTGTGTGCCAGCCTGTGCACTGCAGCTGCGCCCAGCTGGCAGTCCTTGCTTTGCAGAATTAATGGTCCCATTATCTGTCTGTCTCTTTTCAGATACTTTCACACACAGGCCACCTGCCATGGCAGGGCCAACCCACAGACATGGACAATCAGAAGGTACATTTGAAGGACTTTTAAAATGCTGCGATGAAATTAGAATAATCAACTTCAAAGCTTGTTGCTCAGTGATGTAAGTATGCAGTAATTCCCCTTTATGATCTTTAATTGCAACAAGCTATTAGGGAGAGTTTAGTTTTACATTTATTTAAGGGCTGAAGAGATTATTTGGATTAATGTTGTTGAATTGATTGTTGAAATAATTGCTAATTGTCATTAACTAGAGCACAGGGACACAAAAATGCCATTTGCTGAAAGAACAATTTGCTCAGAGGAGGAGTTAAACTAAAACTGTACAAAAAGAATATGTACATTTTACATTTTAAAAATGTCCAAGCCAGAACTACTGACGGGACCTGGATTCTTTAAGAACATATCCTATTAAGTACCTTTTTCAATTAATCAAAAAGATTTGCCCTACAAAGGGCAGAGCTTTTCACATTGAAGTTATAATATTTTTTAGATGAAGATTCTTTGCACTTGAGGCAGGTGATTGTTTTATGGATTTGAAAAGAAATTGAATGGATTTGTTTTGTCTTCTTTGCTTAAGCGGTCAGATAAAAAATCTGTAGAATGTGCCATTTTTTTATCGATTAATCATTAGAATAATCAAAAGAATATTTGATCAATAATTAGCTGCAGCTCTAATTTATTTTAAATCTTTTTGTGTAGCTAAAACATAATTCACATTAATACAACATCTTATGTTGTTATTATAAGCATCATTGTGACATATAAAAACAATTTTATTAAATATGATTAATGAAAGAAACATTCCTGGAATTATATAATAAAATATTATGCAAAACTGTTCACAGTGATCAGGCCATACACTAAAAGTCACAAGGAATAAAGTAAATGCTTTTTGTTTGTTTTGTTGCTGCTGTTTTTTTTTTTGTTTTTTGTTTTTTTTACAAACCATATAGGTATTTGCATCGTTGTACACCTGTATGACATTTAATGACATGTGTGATATGACAATAAGTGGTCATGTAGCAGACTTTTTTTTTTCACCTTCTGCGGAGGAGAGCCCACAGCCATCTCCACGTAGTATCCCTGACCGGATTTCCCACGCAGGTTGTCGATCATGTCCACAAAGCTGACACCGCCCTCTGCCGCTCCTCTCCGCCTGCGCACAGGGGATTCGCTCGCGGCGCCGCGTCCCCGTTTCGACTCGGCGGCAGGTGGCAGCGGCGGTGGTTGCTCGGCGCGAGCGCCTTGCCGCAGTGGCACGCGGATGGCTCGAGGCAGGCCCGAGGAGTCAGGTGCGCGTTGCCCGCTGCTGTGCAGACACAGAGTCGTCCATATGAACAGTGCCGTCAAGCGGCGCGGCTGCAGCCTTGACCCCTTCATGTTTAACCACGGCTCAGTTTTATTTCTGATGTTTGGCGTTGACTTTGCGGCGCAGCTTTCAGCTTGACATCCAGCGCGAAGCAGCACGGGAGAATGGGTCAAGAGGGGATGATGCTAAAACGACGGCTAAAACCATTATGGCAGTTGACCCACAACGCTAAAAGGCACGAGGTTCAATGTTATTTAACTGATTTTAGTGTTAAATGAAATCAGTCATTCTAATAGACTACACACTAACCCTATGGTAGACATCAAATCGTCCTCTCAATTAAAGCTCCGGCTTGCTCCGTGTCAATTTGAGGCGACGCATAAATCACCAGCTCCTGCTCCGTGTGACGACAAGCCGCAGGCCTGGGTCTCTTTACCCCAACATCTTCGTACTAAACCACCGAAAGCATTGCCAGAAGGCAGACTGACCGGTAGGCTACCGTAATCCGCATCCTCCCTATTTTCCGTCCAGTTCATGCTGTTCTCCGCCTTCCAGTCTTTCACCTCCTCCTCCTCCTCCTCCATCGACTCCGTCGCATCCTTCAGATCTGCGAAGGGGCAGGCAGCATTGATGCCAAGTTAAACTGCAAATCCAAACTGTTTCCTGGAGGACTTTTCAAAATAAACTCCTCGCTGTTCTCTCATAGAGTACCAGTAGTAGCTATATAAAAAATTTATTAAGATGACAACTTTCATGTTCAAGGCTTTTGCTCTGGATGTCCGGCTTCAAAGGATGCCACTATGCACAATTTATATGCCTGAGTGTTTTACCTGATGTGGCATGCACCGAGCAACACTGTTTAAGAAAATATTGGCTTATGACATTGGTATGATACTGTCTATGTTTTTATAGACCCTGGCTTGCATTTGATCATTTCCAATTCCAAATTGTAGCTACTTAGACTGGTCATATATTTAATCTATGTAATTCTAAACTAAACTAAAATTATTTCTAATAAAAAATTAGAATTTTTTTTTTATTAAATTGATCCTGTAGATAAAACTCAAACATTTCAGTCCTGCCTAGATAGTAGAGGACCATCTCGGCTGAGAAACTTGCAGGGCTGGGCAAACCTGTACTGAGATGTGTGATCAGGAATATCTTTATGTGAAACTAAATCAATTATCATATAATTTCTTCCTTTTTTTGGCTCTTTTCCAATAAGTTCCATATTGGTTTGGTTGTGACAGGGAATAAGTATGAAACAGATTAAGTGGTACAAGCAATAATTGTGTCAGTTTGTTTGCTAAATGTGTTTATTTTTCAGAGTTGTAAGGTATAATACACACAACATTAGATATTTATTGCACAAATATGGATGACAGAGGATTAATAGCTGTGGTGAGGAATGATAATCAAATTCCCCCAAATTAAATTATGTCTATTGGCCCATACAATAGACAATGAATAGACCCCCAAAATATGGCAAACAGGAGGAAAGAAAATATTAAGCTATTATTGACTGCTGATACAATACCCAATAAAACATATTGGCAATAATTCCACTTTTCCATTAACAAATGAAACATCTAAATTGCTACACCGTAACATTGTAAAAGAAAATTGCTAAACATTTGTTGTATTTTATTTTGAAAGCAAAATCGTTTTTCAGTTCTCCCCTCCCTTCCAAGAAACGTATCATGGATAATGAAGTTTTTAGCCTGACTTCCATTCATCCTCTCTATAGTTTTAAAGGAATACATGTTTCATATTTAATATTATTATGACATGCTTGTAAGCAAAATCAGGACGTATACCCATGCATTAATTGTTTTTATTGGTGTTAAAATGCTGTATTACACACACATATTAATACTGATGTCTGTCTTCTCTCACAGTGACAATGAGCTTACTTTAAGTGAATTTGGTGTCAAATTAAATATAGTAGTCCAGAACATTTATATGTTGTTATTTTGATAATAACAACAAATAAATTCCACACCAATAATAAATTAGATGTGAAAAGGCATTTGGAATAATTTATCATTTATTCCTGTTTTCAGCAAAAAAAATAAATAAATAAAAATTGTAAATTAAGAGGTGGGTGTGTATACTCTTGAGAAGCACTGTATTAGCTGATTTTATTGTCTGTTATGTTATTGTCATAATGACATAAACCTCTGTTCTGTGGCTCCTGAGTACTTTCAGTGACATCATCAATAATTTATGTCACAATGCCACCCCTGACAACTTGTTTTCTTAGGGTTTAATAAGTAATTTAAAGGGTCTGTAATGGAGCCCAGTAAATAGAACTACCGCAAGTAAACTATATACATAAATATAAGAAGGAAAGAAGCCAGATGTTAAGGGGCTAATTGGAACAATTGGTTTTTGTTTGCTTGCTTTGCAACAGCTTGACTTTCTAGTGAGATGATACAGTGCAATCCCAGTATACAGGGATATGGAGGAAATGTGCAGATGTTGTTAAACTGTTATCATCTTTGCTCTCCATGGTGACTTCCACAGAATCCTCCTTTTGGTAAGGCAGCTCACACTCCTGCAACAGCGCAGAGGATGAACTTGTCTGTCCTATAAAGGAAGAGAAAAATGCTTAAATAGGTTCTGTTTAGCCCTGTTTTGTTGTTAATTAACAAGACATAAATGTCTTGAGCAAACAGACATTTACTAACATGGCTTTATAACTTGCAATGCAGAATATAAATATCCTTTATTGTCCCACAGCTGGGAAATTTCTGTGCAACAGCAGCACAGAAATTGCCACAGGCAATCACAGCTAGTAGATTCACACAAAGATAGAAATATCCAATTTATAAAAACAAATAACAAAGAAAAAATACTGTAATGTAAGAACAAAATTTCAACTAAAAATTGAAATTTTGTGAAACTATAAAAAAAATACTCTGGTCCAAAAGGAATGTGCAACTGAGAAGGTAAATTTAAAACTGTACGAAATGTGTATATTCATTTGAGAACTAAAAAGACAGACTGTAAACTGCAACAGCAAAGATGTTAATCAAAGTTGTGCAAACACAATAAGACTAGTAAATTATAACTAAGAGTCTTAGTACTGCTAAATGAATCATATGACTTTAAGTAATTAAACTCTGAACTCTGAAAGGTAATACAGTGGGTTGTAAAATACTCACCGGCTGAAGGCTTTGAACGACACTGATCTTTAGGTTTAGGGACGAGAGGCTCTTCACCGCCATCTGGTGGACAGGATACTGCAAGAGAGCTTGCGGTACCTTCCCTGCACGCAAAAGTAAGAACACAGGTGTTACATGCAATTATGCAGTCCTTTCTGGAAAGCTGTATACCTGCCTTTACACGCATTTATGATCAATCTACTGTATCCGAAGCAATCCCCTCCCTGACATGGGAGACTGCACGAGTGAAAGACAGTACAAAGGTGAAAGATTAACTGTGATCAGGCCTGCAGTCTTATCATTTAGCAGCTGATAATGTTAGGATTCTGCTGTTTGTCAAGGACAAAAGCTGAATTTAAGGTGGACTGACACTCACCATGCTTGTGGGTCTGTGGTCCTGAAGCCTTTAGCAAATGGGTTGCTTGCAATTTTCAACTGAGTTATCTAAAAGCATAGAAAATTTCAAATATTGAGCATTTTCTTTTCTCTCAAATCATTTACTTCTTATATATGGGAAAGGTTGGGCCCATTCAGTGTTTAGGCTACTGAAGGTCCAGTTCTTACCCTGTGGTTCTGATAGGCGGTGACGGCCATGAACCGTGTCTCAGGGAAGGAGAAAGAGCAAAAGTTCTTGTAGGCGTTTAAATGACTGTTGGGTTCTGGGTCCACATACACTACATGGAACCGTGGCTGGTAACGGTGCATGGAGTTCAGAATCATCTTACAAACAGAAAGCAGAAAAAAACAGTCAGTTTAAATAAACATTTCAGGGACTATTTCATTAAAGTAAAAAGCAAGAACATCCAACTGACATGTCCATTGTCATCCAGCAGGTTGTTGGTGAGCTTGAGAGTGTCAAACGATACTGTCTGCTTCATCCACTGGGCTCCAGGGGCCGGTGAGTCTGGGTGGAAATGCATTCTGCTCGGAGCTGCAACATCTGCTCGCCCTGCTACCAACCATGAGGAGTTGTGGAATGCATATCTGAAACAAACATATTATTATTTTCTTTATTATTATTATTATTATTGAAATTCATTTAAGGATGCAGATGATCAACATGTTAAGTCAGTTTTTCTGTAGTGAAATCTAGGCATAGTTAATTTATATAGCACCTTACACAGATAGAGTATAAACATTAAAACATAATTAAAAAGAATAGATTGTCTTGAGCTTCTTTTTTAATTGATCAAAACTCTCAAGACAGTGTAAAAGTAAAGGAAGCTCAATCTGCAATGGTCTTCATATTTATGAATTAAATCAATATTGCTTAACCTGTATCTCTTGTCATCAACAGGGATGAAGTCCATGAGCAGAACATACTCGGCTGAAGGATCCATTCCAGAGATTCTCACCTGAAATGTTGGAAACATCCTCCTGCCATTTTATGAATGTAAAAAAAAAAAAACAAATAGATCAAGAAACATATTAGGCAATACAAAAAAACTACAGCAAAAAGAGCTAGTGGATGAACATAGTAGCGTGTTTTGTAGATAGACAGTTTCAACTATTGGGACAGTAACTACAGAACACACTATAAAACATTGTATGAAGCATTTCTCACCGTCCAGATTTTGTAACTATCATTTCTGTGCCCAGCTGGTCAAACTGCCGCCACAGTGCCTGCATCTCAAGTTGAACTCTGACCCCACAGACTTGGGGGACCTTGGTGATGAAGAGTACCCCTCCATCTGTGCAGCCAGGCAAGGAAAGTTCACAGCTGTGGGACAGACCTAAGTGGAAAAGAAGGCAAACATCCATGTACATTGTTACATTTTTCCACATTCTCAAAGCAGCTCAAGGTCAGCTCCCCCTTCACCAGTTTGTCCCTGGTGAAGGGGGGAGCTGAGTGTAAAATAAGGAGCTCACATCATGTCATCAATATAATACGTAGAAAACACTCACCGTCCATCCTTTCGTTGTCTACAAGTGTCTACTAATGTATCTGTTCAGTCCTATTATTTTTTGCCAATCTGGCTGCTAGCTGCTCCCCAGTAGTGAGTTAAACCCACAAGTTTAGAGTGTAACATAAAAGCAGCAGCCTGTACAAAGTTTTCTCCCTCCGGTTTCCGTAGATGTGTACAATCAGGTTTTCTGAGGGGTCGTTTGTGGCTGGAAGAACAACATGGTTTTATAGAGCACAGAACTCTCACTGGGGACCTCAAAGCTGGCCTCATCCATTATAATACTCATAGAGGCATTGACACCAACTAATCAAAGCCGGAAGCACTTTGTTGCATTCAGCCGCAAGAGTGGTGAAGACCTGAATGCAATTCTTTGGGAAGAAGCAAATATGTCATTGTGACTTGTAGCCTTAAGCCCAAGTCGGATTAACATTTTGCACGAAAACAGTTTGATGTTACTGGGTGTGGACAGCTGAGAACGGAAACAATCTGTTTTTATTATTCATAGGGCCAGATTTTCAACACCATGTTAATTGGAGACTCACTTACACATGATGTCCAGCTTAAAGTTCTGGTTTTCCTTAAAGGTTGAATTCCACTTTACCAGTTAGCATGACTAGAGCAAGTTTTTATTGCTAATTTAAATAATATTACAGAAAAGGAAAGAAGTAGTTTGCAGGACTTTAACAATAAGATTCTGCTTGAGAGGCTTTTGCTTCCACGTTTAGCCTCATGTGGCACTTCGATGGGATGGTGTTGATTGTTCCAGCCTGAGGGATCCCAGGCTGTAAAGACTTTCCCCTAATTAATCACAGCATGATTCTGGTTTGTCAATAGGCCGGTTCCCTCTCTGTGATCAACTCATTAATCATTGCTTTTAATACAGCAGACAGGAATAGCTCATATGCAGCTGAATGGCAGTCTTAACAACAACTGATTGTTTTAATATTGTTCTTTTCAGGTGGTCTTTGTAATCAATGTTGACCTGTTAAAATCCTGATCTTGCCCCTATTGCCTGAAAAGGTGAGTGTGATGCTTTTTTAACAAGCAGTTTAAAGGAAAATGACTCCAGAACACAGTTGTATAAACAGTCAGATGTTTATTGAGCTGTATTTTTTTTTTTTATCAAAGCACAGTTACCATAGTTACACAGAGATTCAAGGCTGTGTGGTAATTCACAAGCACTTCATACACAATATGTTAGCAAATGGCATGTAAAGATGAAGACGTGTGCTAAGTGTGTATGTGTCTCTGGGTGCATGCTTGGATTTATGCATGAAATTGCGTGCTCGGAGGGAAGGAAGTTCCGCCATTTTTGTTCATAAGTTAGGCACTAGCTTCACTTCTGAGGTGGTCTGTTTGTGAGGGGGAAGAAAGAACATAAAGACAGCTTCAGTATATCTAAGACAGACAGCAAGGTGAGGTTAGTTAAAAGAAAGATACAGAGGATTTAGTTTTTGTTGAAGGTATCTCTGATGATGGTAACCATGGCGTGGAGCTTCTCCTTGATTTCCTCTCCAAGAGGAGTCAGCTTCTCCCTCAGGGAAGTGATCTGCTCAGCATTGACGCCCTGTGCCTGGCTGTAGGCCTGTCTCAGCTGCTCTTTGTATTCTTCCACGTAAGGGGTAGCTATCGCCTTCAGGGCCTCCAGGCGCTCGACAAGCTTGGTGCGCACGGACTCAACAATGGGCATCAGGGCAGCTTTGGTCTCTTCGACATTGGTGGCTACCTTCTGACGCAGCTCCGCCATAACGGGCTCCATCTTGGCCCTCAGAGCCTCCATCTCGGCGTTCTGCTTAGCTTGGTACTCTGTGACGTAGGGCTCCAAGTGGGCGCGGTACTCCTCCAAGTGCTTTGAGAGGACCTCCCTCAGCTTGGCACGCTTGGGCTCTAGATCAGCTCTGAGAGCCTCAATGTCAGCTGCAATAGAGGCACGCAACTCAGCAGTGGCATCAGAGATGCTGGTAACGACAGTGTCGGTCATAGGGGACACTTGGGACTGCAGCTGCTTGATGTTGTTGTGGACATCCTCCAGGCGCTGAGCCAGGGTAGCCCTGGAACAATATAAAGGTTGAAGGGCTCATGACTAAATAACTGCAGCACTGAAGGAATCATGAGAGAGTCATCAACTAAACCATTTTCTTACTTCAGATCCCGGTATGGAGTGTCATCAAGCTGGTCCAGAGCTTTGATGGCACTTTCCTTTGCCTGTGTCATGTAGACATCCGCAGCAGCCCTGATGTGGGCGAGCTGGGAGGGGGCATCAGCCTGCAGGGAAGCGGCCTGGGAGCCTGAGGTGAGAGGTGCAAAGACAAAACGTTGAACATGTGCAACAGATCTCCTGAGATATCCCAGATTCAGGAAGGAATGTGCCTTCTACTCACCGACTGCCAGGAGAACGGCAAGAGCAAGAGCCACGAATTTCATGATGGTGGTCTAGAGTCAAAAAACACACAGAGAAATGGTGAAAACACACGAAGGAATATGGTCATGTATCCACTAAAGCAGTGTTAAATCTCCTGCCTAAAGTAGACTTATAGGTCTCAAAATTAAGAATGCTTTGCAAAACACTCATCCACAAAGTGACCTAAATTAGCTGGCAGCCAACATATGGCTGTCTATTGGGACAACGTATAATCTGAGTAGATTAGCAAAGCAGTTTAAGTCGATAAAACCCGAACTGTTTCATAATCTTGTTTTAGGGTTTAGCAAGTCAGCTGTCCGGGCTAGAAGACGATCTCAATCCGGATGAATAAATGAGTTTAGAGACATCTTCAAATGGAAATACCAGCTGTAATATCTCCTGAGGCCCAACAGCTTCAACCTGAAGTTGTAATGACAAGAAAGAAAAGTCCTAATGCTACCATAAAAAATTCCACATTTGCATGTTTTAGCCTCTCCTTCAGTAGTTGAGATCTCACAGAAAAGCAAGACTGCAAGACTTTGGAAATTTTAAAAAGTTGAGATGTTTTTTCTTTCCAATCCCCCAGCCTGAAGACCATATTACAGTTGCTAACCCAGTTGCTGCTTGCCTTACCTGGTGGAGTTGGTGACGAGACTGAGCAACTCTAGCCACAGCAAAGTTTTTATAGTCCCCGGATGAGGGACGAGTCCTTTGCAAAGGAGGGGGCGGAGAGGAGGAGTGGAGCAGTGAGGGCTGCGTGTCTCCGTGGAGGTGGACCTCACCCCCGAGCCGTCTTCCTCAGCAGGGGGATCGGGTTGAGGGTTCAACGGTCACATGCTGGCAGGAGATCAGGAACACACGTCAACCGATCTGGCAAAATATGCCCTATATACTGCACATTATCACAGTTCAATACACATGGTAACTTTTACAGAATTTATTCTTTCCAATAAGTTTTGTTTTTTGCTGCTTTTCTTGTGTCTGAGACATCGTATGGTTATGAAAACAAAACTATGCAGACAAAGCCAAGAAACCTGGGATAATAAGGCAAGAGTGATCATTAAGCACTTTCAATTATATCTTTTTTTAACTTCTCCGCATTAGTGGAGATGTTGGAAAGGTGAGGGGGAGGCTAGGAAAGAGTAAGGGAAAAGAGTGAATGCAAATAATTTCACACAAGCAGAAAAGGTTATCTATATGTGTTAGCCAGAAAGCTACATTATTTTTACTCGTACTTCTAAAGATGCTGCCAAGTAAAACAATGACGAGTCCAGAGAGCTCATGGACTTGATACAGTCAGCTTTCTGAAATGCAACAGCATTCAATAAAAAGTTGTGTGTTGAAGATACCAAACACAAAAACACACAAGCCAGCCCACAAACAATTTCATGTATAAAGTATCAAAACAGAATTATCTCAGCATTTAGATAACAAAATTTGTCACTGGTTGAGCACACGCATGCGTGCGTCTGGGTGTGTTTGCATGATGAATAGGTCAAAGAGTTGTGTACTCTGTCCTGTTGTTTGTTGTCCTGTCACCTGTGGACTTTGTCACTCTGGCTTCATGTGATTTGTGGATTTGAAGCAATCACATTATATAATTATATATGTAGATGTGTAGTGCATTCTGATAGCTCTATACTTGTGAGATTGAAATCTGAAACTTCTGGAAAAGAAAGTGAATAACAGCCATGTGTTTTGAGCAGCGGTATCCTTGCAGAGTGGAAGCTGTAGTGTCAACATGGCAACCAGTAGTTCCAGTGCTTCAATCATTGGACGCACTGGAACTACTATCCTTGCATAATGTCAGTCCTATATGGTCGATGCATGTCTTTGTGAAAGCTGTTTCTCTCAAATCGTTTTTTTCTGTGACTTCTCCCTCTGTTCTATTGCAACATCTCCACAGTATGTCTTATGCAACACTGATTGTTATAGCACAATAATTTGAAATGGGAGGCAAATAATGATTGGTAAATACAGAAAATGTGATGAAATATAACTTCTCACAGCTCTGAAAACAATAATTGTGCAGGGCAGTGACAAAACTAAATACTGCTAAATACCACTTGGTTCCATTAAATAACTATATTTTAGATTTATTTGTTGATCATTTGCTTCTTTCCAGTAAGCTAATTGGTTTGCACATGTTGTTTAGACCTAATTTTAAGTTACCTTCATAATTCACAGATTGTCTGATCTCTATCTTCTATCTCTTCCCCTGATTGCATTATTGAGCCAACATTTCAGAGGGCTTGCTAGTTTGATAACTAGACCAACGAGTCGACCTCCTTTTCCCTCCCTCCCTGTCTTGAAACTTTCACCATGCTGTTATCAGCTGTGGTGATTTGTCTGAAACTGATTAACAAAATGTTCCAGACAAGCTGAAAGCTGAAATCTGTGACAGTGGTGGGTGAGGACAGATCGTATGGATACATTTGCATGGAAAGACTTACTTTATTCATTTTTTTATCTAATCAGAAATGCTGAGATGTTCCCATCTTCTTCATCTGAAAAGAAAACCACATTTTTCTATATTTTTGTTTTTCTGGTGTTTCTGCGTCTACTATTTTAAAAATGTCATCAGGTCTCAAAGGAGTGTAAATG